ATACAGAACCTCCCGGCTACTAGGTGAACTCGTAGACCATTCAGCCACTGGGACCCGATCCAATGACCACCCCTGGGTTGCAACTTCTGCCAATATATATATGATGGAGAGGATTTGTAGCTCAGGTGGATGATTTTGATGTGGTTGTGTTCTCTGAGCTGGATAGTTAATTTGCGAAGCAGTTTGATTTCCTTCAATGAGTTCAGAACTTATTGCAGCACTCCAACCTTAGGGAAAATTGAAGAAAGATATTTCATGGACGTCTTCCTCAAAAGAATGGATTGCCGTGGAACTTCATCAAAAGACATATACCCCCAAGTCAACTAACAGAAGGAAAGGCCCCCAAGGAAAGCACAAAGAAAGTCACCCTACCACATATAGAAGACATCTCAGAAATCACTGCAAGACTCTTCAAACCTTTAGGAATTGATGTTGCATACAAACCAACAAAATCACTTCACTCAGCTGGTTCTGTGTCAACCAAAAGACTCAACAACGAAAGAAGAGAAGATAAAACCAACATCATCTACAAAATAAATTGCAACAAAACTGCGAAAAACACTACACTGGTCAAAGTGGACGTCCACTTCGTCTTCGTATCCACGAAGATACGCTAGCCGTCAAAAGACATGACATCCACTCCCTCGCTCATATCGCGGCATAAGGACAACGACGGAAATCACTTCGACTGGGACAACCAGAGTTCAAATATTAGACAGAGGAAGCACCAAGAATGCTAAAGAATTTTTAGAAGGCTGCCTGGTATTCCACTGAATCATCAATCAACAGACACATCGACATAGACAAAATTTATCAACCGATAAGAAAGAAACCTCACACACAAAGGGTCAAAGTTCAAGGAATCAACCAAGAACCTATTGGCCAACAAATATGGTGGAAAAAATGGAGATGGATGGGACACACGATGAGTAGACAGCTGGATGGAATGACACCTGGAGTGGAGGGTGATTGGGAAACGGCTAGTTGGGCGATGGATGGTATGAGAGTGACATGGAGGAGATCGTTTTTGGGAGGAGGAGATGACACACTATGTTCAGTCATCAGGCCAACTTTTAAGAGGATCCCAGAGAACAGGACAAAGTGGAGATGTGTGCTGCTGAAGCCCTATGTTCTACTCGGAACTCAAGAGACCTATAAGAAGTAATAATAATAATAATAATAATAATTAATCATAGCAGTTTTTGGGAATAGACAATTCTGTTTATGACTCAATCTACCGATTAGACTAGATCAAATCAACTTTCAATTCCGACATAAAGGTCAGAGAGGTTTAGTTAAATGAGAAGAGAAGGTTTATTGTCTGAACTTCATTCATCTCAAGGTTAGTTGTGCATACACCTTTTTCCTATTCTCATCGTCGAATCCCCTCCCCTCAACCCTACCTACCCTTGACATTATTTATGTCTGTCTGAGATAAAATAATAAATTGACATTTCAAATTGACCTCTAGTCTTTAATTTATTGAATTTGATAAAATGACTTCACTGTCTCACATATAATTAGGAAATGAGACAAATTTATCTGGACGGTTGTTTCGTCCTTAATTTGGGATTCTTCATCAGCACCCAACTATGACATCGTTACGGATGAGACTCGGGACCTTCAGGTGATAATAATAGCAGCTATATTCTGAATAATGTCTTTATAATATACAGAATTTTCAGTGGAGTTTATAGCATGATATTTTCTCTGCTTCTAGGATCTTCAAATAGAACAGACTAATTGACAGTAGATCGTGTGACTCAGTTCCATCGAACTGGAAGTGAAAACCAATCCATTATTGTGATATCTCTTCTTTTTCTCCTTCGAGAAATACACGACGACATTTTGTTGAATGCCAGTTATGAAAAGTTCTGTAGCTCATCTTGTGAACCAAGGACACCATTCAGGGGCAGTTATCTCATGTATTGCGGATGACCTGCCATCCATCGAGGATAATGCTTTTTCTCATGTTTAATAGAAACTTGTTGTGAATCAGCAGGTTGTAAATGTTTTTTTAAATACTCGCCAGAGTAACAAAACACACTATTAGACGTAATTCAAATGAACTGTGATCAAGATTTGACCGGATAGTTGCAAAATAATTAAGCGCCGAGTGAGAAGTAGACATTTGTAAAAGATTATATTTGTAAAATCTCAGTGAAATTGAAATGATTAATTCCAATGTTTACTGCGTTCGGCAAACTGGTCCGAACTTCTTCAGGGAAATTAATCGAAATTAAAACAACAGAGGTTTATTTATAAAAGGAACATCTCTTGTTTTTAAATTCTTTGTCCAGTCATATGAATCATGAAACAGGTATCGACATGTATAATAAACAAAAAAATTGTATGAACTGTGATCAAAATTTGACCTCAGACTTTCAAAATTAGTCTACTTTTATTAAAATATATATGTGTATGCAGTATACAGTGGTGTGTGTGTATGTGTGTGTGGGTGAACAGTCATAAACCATTTGTTAGCCTTTCCATACGAAGTCGTAGACAATCGGGAATTTTGACCAAGTATGACTATTTCTTGATACATATCCAATTTTTAATTATTAGTCAGGATTTGCCATGCATCAGCTAACATCACACCTTCACGTCTGTCCAAACCATTGGGATTCATCCATATATGGAGGGCTTCTGCGGTCAGTCTTTCTTTATATGAACCAAAACCTTTCTGTAAAACCTTAGTCTTATCAAAGTCGATTTTGTGTCCCGTTTCTGTCGAATGCAGTGCAATCGCTGATTTATTTTCTAGCTTCTTTAAGTCTGCAGAGGTCTTTGGAACCACCTTAAGACATTCTTTATGCTCTTTCACTCTTATATTAACCTGTCTGGAAGTTTCTCCTACATATAAAGCGTTACAATCCCCACAATTCATCTGGTATTCGCAATTCTGCTGGTTTTCTTTTTCTATTTTATCCTTAACCTTCATCAGTGATGAGTGTAAGGTGTTTGATGCACGAAAATACACTCGTATGTTATGGTCGTTAAGGATTCGCTTTATTTCGTCGGATGTTTCTTTGCGGTAAGGAATCACCGCTGTACTAACCCAATAAGTCTTAGCAGCAGGTTTTGATTCATCCTTATCTTCACATTTTAAATGCCTTTTTATGAAGGCTTTAGGATAATTATTTGATTCCAGAGTAGATTGAACCAATTGTGTAACAACAGAAGGCAAGAGACAGGCAACAGATCATTTATTAAGGAAATCAACGCATATTTATATATTTTCATGTACATTATTATGGATATTTAAGCAAACAAACACAGTCTCCAGATTGGTTGTTTCTCACTTAAAGTTAATCTTTCATCTATTTGTGACTGTTTCTTGAATGTCAGATCATCTATATGTTAACTGCATCCGCCTACGCAAAGTCTGCTGTGGTCGGTTTTGAATCAATCTTTGTTCACATTTTCTCACGACAAATCTTGGGAACGTAAATATTGACGTAAATTACTGTCTACCAATTTGGCTAGTAGACAGCTCTCACCACAATTGTAGTTCCTTGCTAATCTCTTCCACCTCAGTAACTAGACGTTTAGCTCTGATAATCAGATTCTTGGCCACAGTTACTTTGGTGGTAAATGGGTGTGCTGAATAGTAGTCGATTAATTTCCCTGAAGAAGTTCGGACCAGATTGCTGAATGGAACGTTGGAATTACTCATTTCCATTTCGCTTAGACGTAAAGTTTTACTAGATTGAAACAAACTGAATAAGAGAAACTATATACAACATGTTGATGGAGGTGTTTTCGGTGGGCCAAGTTTTAAGCAGGCCTCCGATAAAAATTCCAGGATCTTCACATTATGCAGGACGAATTCGTAGACTACCCAGCTACTGGAAAGGTATTCCAGGGCTCATTATTTATATCGCCTTCCAGCATCAGCCGATATCATCAGCGAGTGTTCATTCTCACATTCAATTTGGGGTGACGCTGATGGTCAAGATTTCTCAATGTAATTCAAGGCAACTTCATGCTATAGTCAGTTACTACAGAAAGTAGTAAATTAACTGTCAATTGTTGGATGCTGTCTCAGTGGATGAATGGTCTACAAGTTCACTTTGTATAAATAACCTGAAGGTTCTCGGTTCCACTCATATCAGGCTCATGGTTGTGTTCCATTGAAGAGTCCTAAATTAGGACGAAACAAATGTCCAGTACTCTCTCCCCTTTTTTAATAGTTCTCTAAATGAAGACAGTTCATCATTAGTTTTGAAATGAGTTATTGATGAGAGTGAATAGGATTGACCGTGATTTCCCCCCCCCCCCCACCCAACAGTCTCGTCAGTGTGTGTCCGTTCCATCCCCATCATAGGACAATACACACAATTCCTTGGTAGTGTGCCTGTTAACTACGATCAGAATAAGAAAGAAATACACAAAA